CCCAATTCAACAGTTCAAAGAGGTTAATCTACTACAACGGATTTATCGGACAAGATCGCCAGAAGATGACAAACTCAACAGGGGCAGCTGTAGCGAGAGATTACACACGTTATCTTAGGGCGGCTAGACGAGATCTTGTGATGAGTTTTGAGGATACAATAGACCTAAGGTCGCAGTGTACATCCGCTCATATACCTATTTATAAGTATATACCTAATGAATCTAAGAAGAACCTGGGAGCCCACTGTTGAGACATCTTCCAGTTTATCCAATTGAGTAGCCCCTTGGTATTTCAGTCGACTTATCTATAACGCCGAAAACAAGCTTATCTAGCTGTTTCAAAGTCTCCTTGAGTTCCAGATCATCCATGCATTTCCTGCATAAATATGTGGCAATCGGTGATTCGCAACTTCGTTGTGAGTGTTGCAAGTTAGAAGTGCCCTCAGACTTTCTTGTAGTTCGGCGTGTCCTGGCGAGGCCTCATTGTAGTTATACATCCCCATGAGTTTAAATAATGTTAGATTTCTCATCAATGGTACCTTCTTATTTGATTAGCTAGACATTGTTAATTTCAATAGTAAGTTATGTATAAATATTTTATTAAAGTCGCTCTATTTGCCAAACTCTTTCCTGCAGGGCACTTTAAAACCTAAATACATATGTGCATGTAAATTTGTTTGCATGTTTATGTGCGATTTGTCCTAAAACAGACAGCCATCTAAGAACAAAAGAATGAGTTGGCGCCATTGTTAGTTCCTTCGAACTTCCTGATGTAAGAAAATTCCATTGTGAATTGGGTGTGTGCGCATGCATTAAAAAATATTTTGGGTTACAAGAAGAATTCGGAATCTTTAGAAATGATAGTACATAGATAAGCATAAATGCCCGTACAAAATTAGAGTGCCTCTTGTTTGAACGTCTAGTGGTAAGGAAAAGAAACTGCGCTAAATAAAAACCCAGTACGAGGCAAAAGTCTTGAATTAAATTTTTGGAGAAAATTCCAAGAAAAAAGTTTTTGAGGACTAAAATCATTTTTTAAACGTTTATTAAAGATAAGTAATTAAATAGTAAGATGCAGAAAGTGGACATTTTCTTACTTACAAATAAATTTTAATATCACGCGCACGTCAGAGAAAAGCTTACGGGGAGAAAAAGGAACAAATAGAGAACAGTACTGGAACCAAGCACCTGGGAGTGCCAGGCAAAGACGATGTTGGGGGATACAAAAATAATCTATAAGTACGCTTGATAAACTTAATCACTTGGCTAAGAAAAAAAACCCATAAGATTGAATAAGCTTCCGGTAAACTTAATATCTCTTTTGGGATTATTCGGGCAGAGCCTGTCAAATAGTTAGGAAGAGAGAGGTCTGCGAGTCCGCAAATTAGATTTGAATTCCAGGAACAGTGATTTGAAAATAAAACAGGACTTTTTGTACCAGTTACCAATTTCGAAAATAACCGGGTTTCTAGTAACGGTTATCAATTTTGAGAAAAGCGGAGTAGTCAAGCACATTTTTTTTTATCAGGGTTGTTTCAACACTGAAATCGTTTCTTTGTACCGGTTACCAATTTCGTAAAAAGTTATCCCGCCCATAATTTTTTAAATGTTTATGGTAGAAGCAAGCGGAAAGAAATAAAGTATTTCGCCGCGGCAAGCTAAAGCTGAATAGCGCGTTACAGCGTTTTTCAAAAAAACGGCAATATTTCAATTATTACAAAACTGATATACATAGTGTCTATGAGAAATCTTTACGCAAAATACTAATTTTTGCTTTTAATTAAAAAAGTGAGCCGCAACATTCCACTTATCTCAAAATTGGTAACCGTTACTAAAACCCGGGTTTTACAAAATTGGTAACCGGTACAAAAAACCGATTTCATTTTTAAATAAGCACAATAAAAAATAAATAACCACTATAAAATTAATAACCGATACAAAAAAGTCGAGGTTCCCGATATCGATAACGGCTACAAAAAACCGATTTTATTATTTTTGAAATCACCGTGAAGTAATCCTTGTAGGAGTAAAGTTGCAACAAATTACGACCATTTCGGATTGTCTTATGCATTGAGCTTCGGGTGCTCCACCTTAAAACACTTTCTAATTAAAAGATTGGAAATGTTTACGAACGTCAATTACTGTGTAATAAGCCTTCCCGACATCGCCTATCGGCGGTTAGATTAGCACGACTATAAAAAATTAACGCCCAAGTCGAAACTGTGTACTATTTAGTTAGTTACCATAAACCATTTATGTTAACAAGACCAACCAGCCTGGTAAAAGCCGTTACTAGCGTGTAATATCAGAACTGGATTTTCCTAAGAGGTTATGTGTTCTTTTACTGCTACTCGCAGCCATCGACAACAAACTTATTGATACTTGGAAGTGTTGCTTCGGGCCTGGAAAATCACCACACACAAATTTGAATCAGCTTCTGATAGCACGGTGACGTTGCCATGCCCAAATTTTAGATCCCCGAAGATTGGACAAATTGCTTTTACACGATTTCTTTCAATCTGGTATTGTTTAATTAAAATCATTATCCTCAACAGAGCAAACAGCCCGACTTTCTACTACTTAGAGGAAGCAAGGTTTAGCGGAGATCGAATATAAGTTAACGTAACTCCGGAAAACACACATATAGCATAGGTTAGATTACGTTTGGTTAAGTATCGCGTAAGTCCAAATAAATAAGTGCCAACATCGAAGTTTCACAGGCGAAGGGCTCCTCCGAGCTACCAAAAAGGTACGATCTAAGGTGTTTATTCATTCAAACGCAGTCTTGGGAAAAGCTGGACAGTTAAAAAGGTGTTGCGATGATTCCAAATTTACACACCCACACTGGAAACTCTGGAGTTCTGGAGGACTTCGATTTCATCACTGATCGCATGGATTACTGCGCCATCGAAACGGCTTATAGAAGCTTCTTCTCTGCACACTTTCCCGCAAGGCAGGATTGGGAGGGGCAGAACTTCTGGAGAGGGTTAGTAGTGAACTTCTTTACGGATGGTTCGAAACTGTACAGCAGAGTTGGTGGTGGGGCCTTCCATCGAGAGGTTTTCACAGAGCGTTCGGGTTTTCAGACTGCTGTAGTTTATTGAAGGCAGTTAGTGAGGTGAGAATTTATTCTGATAACTAAACGGCTATCAGGGTGCCAAGTGCGCTAGAGTTGCGCTATAATTTAGTTAAGGAATATCTACTCTCTCTTTCGTTTGCGTCAGAATACTTGCATCTAGCCTTGAAATGTTATGAACGGATAACAAGTGGCTGGGTTACACTCGTGGATAGGTGGGTCTATGGTTAGCTCAGCGAGCGCAGGAGAAAACCAAGACATACGCAGTTGCAAAGTCCTTCTGGCCGAAGACACTCCTCGCACTTACAAATCCACTGCTCTCAGTCTTGTTGGAGGTTTCATAGGGTCATACTTCAATCGGTATTCGCGCAAGACGGCTGAACATATTATCTGATTCCGTGTGTTGCCGTTGTTTGGAAAATGACCCCTAGCGTCCGCGAGTTTGGGCTTGAAATACTTTGAGGTTAGCCGAATTCGTAATTACATAATCGGCTTGAGACATTTTATCGATTATGTAGTGGGTGCCGTTCAAAAAGTAGCATCCTACTTCTGGGACTGCCACCTAAATAAGTTAACCTAACGATCGTTTTTAAGACGGTCTCGGACGATCTAGCCCTGAGGTAAGCATGTTGCGGTCCTGACATTCGATCAATAGCAATCTTTTTCCTTATATCCTCCCCTGGATTGTGAGCAAAAGAGAAACGAAACTGATTTGCTTGAGGATGCTGGAGAGAGATGTGAGAGCTTTTGCCAACCTTTTGTATAAACGTCAGCCTGAACACTTTTCTCTCCCTGGGGATATTATTAAACAAGTAACTGGCAAGAGTTTTTGCTCGACGTCTAACGGCTGTATGCCGCATGAGAAAAAGTCAATGTTTTCGAGTTCATAAGCATTTAATATGACTTTTTCGTAAATATTTATAACACGCATTCGTATTTCTTGTATAGATTTACCTTAGGGCAGCAGGACTGTATAATTTAAGTCCGTGCTTTCCAATCGCAAGCCAGAAGTCAGCTAAAAAAACATTACACAATATGGGCGGGAGAGAAAAGTGTATGTAGACAGACTTAAGTATGTGTAAGTGTGAATGTAATACAAGTGCAATGAAAAAAGGATAAGGAGGAGCAACGAAGCATATCCATTACACGCTGCGAACTATCAGTAACAGAAATCACAAGGCAATTTCTTCAACCGAATAAGTGCAAAATGAGATTTAAGGGCAAGTAGTAAAGGAAGAAAAGATAAAACTAAATGCACATGAAAGAAAGGCGCATAAGAGTGAGAGCTGCTTTCAGAGCGAATTGTTAAGGACAAGGAAATGAAGAGGAAATGCGTTAACACAACGAGCGTGATGGTCGGGTTGAAAGGCGACATGCTGAACAGGGTGTAAAGGGCGCAAGGAGAGCGAGTGGGGCTAGTAGAGTAAGGGGAGCAAGGAAAAGAGAAAATTATTTAATCCTATTTGAGAATGTGTACATACACAGCTTTTTCCGCTGCTTACCTCACCACGCACACAGGCACATGCCGTTCGAGGGCAAGTTTTCAAATAAAGGATACTTACAGCCAAAAAGGGAGAAAAGTGAAAAAGTTTTGGGAGGAAAATTATCAAATGAAAATTAAAATATGGAAAAAAACGAGTGGCATGCAATTTATGGGAAAATATTAAAATTTTATTTTTTTTAGTAGTTTTAAATTTCAGGTTTAACCAGTAGAAAAAGGGTTACACTTGCTGTGCTGTTTACAGCTTGTAAAAGTAGGGCGCTGCTTTGCCACAAATAAAGTCTAAACGAAAATTCAACATTATATAACATTAGCGTTCATATACATACATACATATGTATGCAGGTATGTACGTAAATTGCGTATACGCTGTATGTTGTATAATACTCGATATATCCAACAACGTCGCGGCCATTGACTTACCTTGCTGTACGGCCAAGAATAGCACCATAACGCTAGCTAGAATTGTTGACTGCATTTTGATTTAATTTAAATTTTTATTTATATATATATATATTTTCGCGCTGATACAACACACTCTATTTTCGTTTTGCAAATTTCGATACGTTTTTATATACTTTTTCTTTCTTTAAAACTTTCGTTTGGTCAACACTACTTTAGGCGACTTCACAGCTAACTCACTCGGCCACTCTATACAAAATTGTAAAT